GCAAACGGAATAAAGGTAGTACATAATCTCAACTATTCGGCTTCTCATTTTCCGTAGTTGACTTCCAGCCAGTGGAAGATAATTATTTCCTTGACATTAGTGCACATCTTATGAATTCAAGGAAAACGAATATGTTTGGAGAATTCGGGATCTGAGGAATTTTCCTGGACTTTTATGAATACTTGTGTGTTGTGCATTGTGATATTGGAATGACAAATTATCAGCACACTTTTACAGTTCTTTAGAATTGCAGGAACTCAACTATGTTGTGGCTATCTTTAATGAACAAAAGAAGTCCTCTGCCTCTCTTGACTGTGGATGACTTCGGGGTGTATACCATATGACGTTAACCTATATCAATTAGTAAATTATTTATGTCCTTAGTAAGTTGAACCCCCATTGTCAATGACTTAGAAAAGAAGCATTAGCAGTATCTGTGTGTGGTACTTGTGACAATTTGTGATAAGAGTCCACCATCACTACGGCAAAGCATCAGTTTCAAAAAGCAGAACAGTGATCTGCAAGAATGCTTTGTCACATCTCGCGAGATACAGGCAGTCGGAACAGTTCGTTCTCCTGGTAATATCGGCATTATTCTCAAGTCGTCAGTATACCGGATGAGCAAATGATTTGATTTTCTCTCTCCCTAGGATCTGCTGTATTAGATAGCACAGGAGATCTCATTGTCGAAAGAATATCAGAAGTAAAACTCTTTCAGGGTGTAGCCATATTTCATCTCTTCATTTAAAGAAGTAAGGGAGCCTTCTCTTGCACTGCACATTCCAATCCATCATTGTATTTATGACACTTTCATAGTGCCCTCAGGTATCCTGTATAAATGATGTTCTGTCAACGGGTAGTGGCTGAACTAATAAACAATCAGGACCAGTGGGAGAACTCTCAATTGATGGACAACACAGCACCAAATCTGCTTGAGGTGTGTCTTTAGCTTGTTTGCATTCAGCGGAGTAGTCGTGAGCACTTGGTTCTAAACTACATCTCTGAACCATAGCAGCAGATGACCTATTTAAAAGTTTGTTGGGGTGGCAAACGAATTTCAGGGCTTGATGATCAGTGACACTATGAAACTTCGGACCAAACAGGCACTTGTGGAGAAGCCTTATTGCCCAGACAACTGCTAGTGCTTCTTTCTGAGTTTGATAATATCCGTGTTTACTCCTACTCAAGCGTCTTGAAATACAAATAACTGGTCGTTCATCTTAGTTTAATACTGCAGCAATGCGCTCTGGACAAGCATCTGTGGTAAGAATAGACTTATCGCTTGGCGAGGAAAGTCTCAGGAAACACTGATTATTTGCAAACTCCAAAGCGTTTCGTAAAATAATTTCATGACGCTGTTCCTATGGAATGTTTTGACTGAAAGTATTGTTGAAAAGTGGGGAAAATAACTGCGTGAAATCAGCAGTGAACCTGGAGTCGAACTGCTAAGTACCAATCCATGTTCTCTAAGATCAAATAACTGTTGGCGAATGTTCGAAGATTGAACTGTTAATTGGCTTACATTCTCCCACCGACAACCACGCACGGTGGAGCTCAGAGATACGTTTGGAAAGTGCGCACTTTATGAGGTCTATGTAATTAATAACAGATAAGAATACCTCTTCAGCGATTCGGATATACTTCTCCGTGAAGTTGCAGATCAGGTCAGATTCTCTAGTCAGCAATTGGCCTCAGGGTGCATTAGGACGAGTTGCCACTTTGAGTCACTTCAACGCGAGTCTACAAGTTTACTTGCTGCCGTGACGCTAGTTATATAGGCCTCAGGAAGCGCGCACTTTCCAAATGTATCTCTGAGCTCCACTGTGCGTGGTTATCGGTGGGAGTTTGTAGGCCAATCAATGGTTCAATTCCTGAACGTTAGATCAACTGTGGACATACAACTCCACCAGAGTCCTACTCCACTGTCGTTTATAGAGTTAAAGGGGGTAGTTCAAAAGGAGTGCGCCTTCGACAGTTGTGCATAGCAGAAGCTCTAGGAATTCGCCAGTTCAAGCTTGATCTCTGTGTGCAGAAGAAGTATGTTCAATCTCTTATCTTACCGTGGTCTTAACACCTACAATGTTTCGACCTTATTGTAAGTAAATAGTGAACTGTTATCACCTTCATTATTACCCTTGCTTCCTTCTTCGGCCTCTTTATATCTATCAAGTGAACACTTATTATTCACACTTCATATCTACTGACAATTTTCACCTTATCAAACTCCTTGTCTTTCTCATTATTCCCATTGTCTTAAAGATTATTATGCAACTACCTTCCATTCTTGATTTCCACTTTTGGCGATGGCCTAATGATGCAATTATACTCTATTTCATAGTAATACACTGTTACATATTTTCGATTTGCATAAAGACGGTTGTATAGCTTCAGAGAATTTTCTTCACTGGATTTTCTCTTCATTCATGTATGCGTGAAGCGCTTAACTAGCAGTTGATAGAGCCTTTTTCTCTAGTACAGCAGCTGAAGTTGAAGACCCAGAGCTTATACGTAGACTTTCTTCAACGAAATCAAGGATTAACTTTATAGGTGAGCGGTTTCAGAAGCACGAAGTCATCCAATTATCGTCGCCTGCTTAGAAAACAGGCCGTAGCCAGTTTGGTGAAAATTATGTAGCAGTCTCCATTATTGATGAGTGGTGTATATTATTCTGCGCTGCCGGTGTTTTCTAGAACTCATCGTTTAATTGGTGACACTGTTGTCTCACTAGCTATACTTTACGGTTACTGAGTTCTATCGAGTGCCGTATGCACAACTGTAGCAGGGTTATCAATCAGTGAAATCTTATTTTTCAATACTTGACCTCAGTTAGCTGAATTTTTTGTGTTATTTAGCAGAATTTATTCCCAATTTTGACTGATCCTAATGACATATTTGATGAAAGTGATTTCTGTCTGCTTTCTATTATTGTTTTATTATTTTTTTGTAATTAAAAACGGTAATTCTTTTTTACATAAATCTGTAATGACATGAAAAACCGACTCATGGGCTATTTCAATGTTCAGAAGAACGATAGAAACAAATGTAAATTGTCAATAACTAATACGTGAATAACATTGAGATTTCGATTTCCACCTGACGTATGAAATTGATTTTGGCTAGAGAAACATTCCGGACATAAGTGCAGAGAGATTTGTTACAGCGGATTTTAAATTCTTTTCAACGAACACATTCACGAAGGACGTAATACGTTCCATACTTGTTTATATGAAAATAAAATTATTAGTATTAAAAATAGACTGAATTAAGTAACCAATAGGTTATTAGAAACTTGGCTGAAGAGACTGTCTCTTTTGTTACAGTTGCGCGTTTTCAAGCCCTTAGACGTTTTTCTATTACAGTGACCTTCAAATTTTCTCATCTGTCGCAAATCGGTGTATCGATAGCCAATGATAACCAAAGATGCAGATCATACGTTTTATGCTTTCCGCATTTGATACGCTCATTTTCGTGAAAGCATACTATTTGTTGCTGTCAGTTAAAATTGGAACTTTTGGTTGATATGAAATCACATTATAACTGGCTTCATTCTCACTTTCCAGATGGAATACATATTAGTGATGGGATCTCAGATGAGATAATCATACAATGTAATACAATAACGGGAGCTACTCTCATCAAAATATATCCGCAACACTGAATGCTATATCAAAACACTTTCGTTTTCAGTCATACTAAATAAACAGCAGGTTTATCCTACAACTAAAAGGTTTGGTTGAAACAATATTGGATTGGAAAATAAGGTATATAGAAGGTATGTGCCGTATGCGAATACCAAGTAAAGAACTGCATTAAGAAAAAAAATAGTTAACAGTTGTTTCGCCGCTCCTCAACAATTTGGTCTCTTATAAGTGTTGAACTTAGAACAATAATGGTAATTTCGTTTTTCGCTTATGAATACTGCTGGAGTATGAAAACCAAACGATTTGCAGCCAATCAACTAACTTCAAAAGAACAACATGTTTTTTGTGACACCATATCTGGTACTAAAACGTTAGTGAAAGAAGTTTGTTTAGAATATCGTAGCAAACGCAGATAACTGTAATTCAATGAACAGAATTGCGTAATTTATTCGTAAACCCCTTCGTCATTTTATTCTATCTTCTTATCTAAAGAACTGCAGTGATTTTATTTTGAAGTTTAAAGGCATCCATCATGCATAAACAAAATGTGGAGCTGCAAATAAACACTGCAGAAAACACGTGCGAATTAATAAAACCATCAGTCTCTATTGGCCTTATCATAACATATAGCCAAATGAAGGGATATTACTGGCATCAGTGATAGCCTGAAGGAAAGCTTACTAAACCAAATCAGATAATAGTGATTATTATCTTGTCGCTTGTATTGTCCAGTCATTGACTGGATCAAATTGATCGGTCTCTGTTGGCATGCAAGCTTCTGAGCGAATGCTTTGATATTGCCTGTCGTTTCAAGTTGGTAGTAATGATGAATAGTGCCTAGCAGTGGAATGCTAGACTTGTGTTTCCTCCTGTTTGGGACTGGTAAGCTGGATGTACCTGTCTCCCAGTTAGCGATGCTGGTCCCCCTAATACTCGAAGCCTATCGCTTCAGATACCAAAGCGTTATTCACCAGGTCACCTAGTCAGAATAGCCACTACTTGTAAGGTGAATATAGACTGGTTTTGACGTGGTTGCTTGTAATTCTGAGTCATTTGAAGAGATTGATCCTGCGTTTGAGTCTTAGTGGGAACAACATTGCATTTGATCACCAGATACTAGATTTGTAATCTTTTTTCAGAGCCTCCTGCAAAGATCGCTTATGCTTGACTTTTAACAGAAGCGAGTTCGTAGATGAGAGATTTTAAGAAATTAAAAGTCAGGACAGAAAGTCTACCATGCACTCCATAATTATCACCGACTACCCACTTTATATTGACCTGTGATAGTAAAACACTACAGAAGGACTCAGTTTCTTCAATAAATAATACATTTGATTTGCTTTCTTAATTATACTCCAGATAAAAAAGAGTTTTCATTCGAAAATCCAAACAGTAATTTGTGTGTGGATATAAGACGAGTGAAGCTGATCAGTCATTCAGAATGGGAACGTTTAAACAAACAGTTTGGCAGTGAATCAATTGGAGAAGCAAAAATAGAAGAGAAGAAGCTGGAGATGGAAAAAATTAAAGCGCAATCAAAGGAAATGGTTAAGAATTGGACAAATACATTTTTGGTAAGATTTTAAATCCAAATGATTCCCATGCAGAAATAATAGGGGTCATCAAAATAATTTCTACCAATAAATCTCTATGAAATATGTAAAGTAAGAAATCCAACTCTGTACCATATCGAAGACTGCTTCATCTTGTTTTCACAAATTATAATATTGGAGTTGAGCCTCAAACGGTTCATGGTGTTTGAACTCATAAACGAGATTGCATCGCATAGGGAACTTAATTTTCAGAGCTTGGATCCTTAAAACTGGAATATCGATCTAGCATCTCTGATTGGTCGAGAATTATTAATTAATCTGTGCGTAAATGGATTCCCATTCTTCAGTGTGCTCTATCCACTCACATTTCTCTACATTACTATCAGTTTTTGTAGTAACAGAAACCAGTATCTAATCCATGTAACTAGGACCAACCCGGAAAGTAAAATACTATCTTCACAAAACCATGGGTTTATTTCCAAGACACGCTGTAATTTACAGCTTGTTGATATTAATTGTGACAGATAGTCTTTTTTTGTGAAAAGGAAGATCTATACAAGCAAACTTCTTTTCAGTAGACCCATTAGCCTAGAAGTCGCCAGTGTTTGTTCTTAAAATTAAACTTTCTCATATTAAATGCAATTTCAACAAGAAATATTTATGCATAGCAAAACTACGTATGAAGCATTAATATAAGCGTCATATTGTTGAATTTGCTGTATTTCTACTAGGTGTTTAAATCGACTGAAAAGCAGAAGTAGTTCACATTATGGCAAACAAGGTTACCTATTATGAAATTTGTCGCAGTGTACAGATCTAACCAAAAAATTAATTACAAGATCAATCTGAAATAAAAAAGCTAATGAGAATGAAGTACAAGTTGGCTCACATTTGTATTATTAGGTAAGGATAATCAAATAAAGTACAAAAAAAAATAAAAGTTTGCATTAAGATAAGTCAGTAAAAGTCCATAGAAAAAAGGGTAACAGGGTAGACGCACAACTGTAACTCTCACTACTCTAAATCAGTTTTACAATCAAAATGTTCTCTTACCTTTTTCAGTAAATCAATAAGTGTCCTGTAAAATCCATCACACTAGTATTGTAGTGCTCTAAAGGCGTTATCAAGTATATTTTGCAGACTATGGAAGTTAAACAACTTATCTTTAGATTTACCACACGACGTTTAATAGCTTAATAATCAGAAGATGAGGCTGTATTATTCAGTTACTGGTCAGAGCCAGTGCATTAGTTCCAGTGATAAGAGACAAGAGATGTTTAACGGAATATGCTAGATATCTCAGAGAGAAAAGTAGCTGTATTTTTTTGAAAATATCTTAAATGAAGAAAATTATTCTGATAGACGTGTTTGAGCTTCAGGAAAATGTATTGGGTTAAACAACACACTAATTAGTTTATAACCTTGTTGTACATTTTCATCCTAAAGTACCATGTCGATGAATTTTTATGTAGCTAAGCTGAATTGTGGTTTCATTCATTTCGTATGAATAGTTCACTGCAAAGCTTTTGAAGAATGATTTAAGACATTTTGTTGTTTGTAATGTCAAGCTAATGAAATATATTTATGTTATGCATCTGTAACCTTGAAATAAGTGAAAATAAACAGTAGAAAATATATTTAGCAAAATGAAGTTTTACGCTTTAATAAGGCACAAAACTATACAGTCAAGACATTTTTAATGGAGATTTCAGCTATACGATAGGATCGAATCATGCTTAGTAATGAAACTCACAAGACACTTCGTTCTGTTTAAGATGTTCAATTAAATTTGCTTTTATCGCAGTCTGTTAGTGCTTCTACTGAGAATGTTGAAGAGCTATGCATTAGTCTACTACTGTACTGTGATCACGGATTATGCAGCTTACGTAAATCAATACTGCTACTTGTAATTCCTTATTTATTAGAACTAAAATCCAATACCACTGAAATTTTGTTGTTGTTTAAGCACACTTAAAAGTTAACAACATACCATAACAGACTATTGCGCTTAGTATATTAAATCAATAAATCATCAAAAGTCATAATATCTACCGAATTTATGCTTCAATACTTATTTTCAAGTCGGTGTCGAAAATTTCGAATAACATTACCGATAGAAGCGAAATCACCCACAAACAAACAATTATGAAAGTAGTGGTATAAAGCCTAGGAAAGTGTAACAATACTAGTAGTAATATCCAGTTTTTTCAAATTCTCCTTCCTATTTCATTGTGAGAATGACTTGTCACTGATATCTTCTTACTCTTCCATGTCCGTTTCTTTCTGTTCTCCTGTCAAAATAACATCAAATATGTTAAAAAGGGTGCAAGACAAAAGAAGTTAGAAGATCGTGCCAACCGCATAGCCGAGAAAGAAAAAGCAAAACTGGCTATTGATCATGAAGAGGAGAAGTTTCAAGCTGAACAGCGAAAGAAAGCGATAGAAAAAGCAAAGTTACAATTATATTACGAAACTGATCGTGTCAGAAATTTACACGTAAGTCAAAAGAAATCTGAATACATTTTTATTGATAATAAAATTAGCTTTACTAACAATAACCGTCCCATCACACTGAATCTTTGTTTATCTAATCAACATCAAATATGTCCAAAAGAAATAACTTAGCAACTGCTCCAGATTTACGGAAAATTCTATGACCGATTTCATAAATGAAGAAGAAAGAATTAGAACTACATAGGTCATATATCAAAACTGTGGGATGTCCTAGATAGGATAATGGAAAATTAATTCTGTCCGTAACGTAATCCAGTGAATACTGCTGTTTTACTGTACGATGCTTTGAATAAATCGACTGAAATGAAATTAGTCATTTAAGTTCGATTATTTACTGCTTATATACTCCTTTTTTTCATTGTCCTTTATTTTGTATGTAGTGCGGTTTAAATCTAACAGAAACCCTTAAAGAACGTGATATGCAATTGGAATTTAAACAATTGAAGAATAATTTAGAAGCAAATAAAGAAAAGGCTTATGTACAGAATATGAAGAAAAGTATTGAAGAAGGTAAGTGAATTAAAGATGTGATAAATGCCTTTATCACTTCAGTTTTATCCTGTGTTTTGAGTAGCACTGGACAACGAGGTTAATGAGATATAAAGCTAAGGTTAATAAACATTATGAATTAAAAGTCGACATGAACCACGAACACTCCATCCAAAAACATTGTCATGGATTTCTATAGATAGGAAATATATTACTGTTCATTTTGCTAAAGTGCGAAGTTTGAGGTAAGTTGACCTTTTTATAAAAGAATATAAATTCTAGATTGTGAAGATCCGTTTTTAATTCGTCAGCCACAAGATAATTTATATATGTATATCAATTGTGTAACCAATATAAACAATGTAAAAGGATGCAAAATAATGACTTGATTGAATGTTATGAGTTGAATTAAATATGTAGTCATTGTAGAAGAAAAAAATGATGATAATAATAATAAGAGGAAAGTCTGTAGAATAGAAAAAGGATGCATTGTCTATCGTAGAATGATTGATATGTAAAATAGTTGAAATGATACTATACTAAAAGTAATATTAATAACAACTCGTAATAGTAATAAACAGAAATTCAAGCATGATACTTAATATCACATATTCTTTACAACTGGATAATGGATGAACATAACGTTGTCATGAATCGGTACTTAAAAATAGTCAAGGAAGAAAGATTGAGTACACTTCTGATGTGAAAATTTGTGTCATTCTATAAAAGATATATCTTATCCACATATATCAAATTAATGTTGAAAATGCAGTTATTTGAAGTGAATGAGGAAGTAAGTACACTCGGTTCATTGTATAACTATTTTAACTTGCCCTACAACTTTCATCTTAATTATCCTCATTATTATATTATTATTATTTGTCCTTTGGGTTCATAGTGAAATATAGGGCTTCAGTAGCACGTCTCCATTCCACTCTGTTCTCCATAATCTGTTGGACCTGCCTCCAAGACTGCCCACAAGCTCTCATTTCTTCCTCACACGATCTCCTCCATGTCACCCTCGCCTCAGACGCCCAACTCGACATTTCGCACACAGGTCCCACTCGAATATCTGGCTGGCGCATGATGTCCCCGAATAGTCTTCTCAGTGCATGCCCAATCCATCCACTTCTTTCTGCAAATTTGTTGGTTGATAGGTTGTTGGTTGGTTCGTTGCCATTCAGCCGGAGTTCCTTGTTGCTTATTATTTGTGGCCATCCATCTGATCATCAGTATCGAGTGAGCATAGTAGTTGTTGATGAATATCTGTAGTTTGTTGGAAATGCTTTTCCTCATACTCTTCTTGAAGTCAGTAATAAATTATAACACCTGTACTCTAGTTAGAAAAGCTTGATTTTTTAAATGCAGATATTTTCATTGCCAACTAATACTTACATCTGATCACCACAGAGAAACTTTCTTCCGCACAAACTTGAGCTCGCCAGTTTCAAATTAACTAAATTATTTGCTATATCATTCATGTATGGTGAAGATAAGATAACATTGCTACTTTCATTAGGTTTTTCATTCCAATAGATAGTCCAGTCGAGTTGGGAGGGACCAGCTACCATTAAAGCGGCTCACTGTTAACATGTAGTGCAAAAGGACAACGCATTTTGAAGAGAACGACAGTAACTTATAAATCTTGCTGTGATGGTTAATAATCCATATTAAATATAACCATTATTTACTAATTTTCCCCAAAAAAAGTATATTACCTGGTTGGTCCTTTAAAATTTGACAAGTTTATAAGGTGATCAGTAGATTCCAAATTTAAATGAATTCGGAAACTAGTTTAAATGTTTGACTAGAAGTTAACACTATAAAAGCTGAGGAAAAACCTTTTGTGGTATTAGATTGTGGGAGTCACAACGCAGGAAGCCCTGAACCTAGATTTCATGCTTGTTGGCACTTATCAGTGAAGCGTATCTGCAAGTATGAGGAAACTGGTGTTATCTCGATGATATGAACTTGCACCACTCAATATTGAACAATTCATTTACCTGAGACGTTAGTCAGATCCAGCCTAGGAGGTTTGTAGCCGACAAAATCTCTGTATGGGAACAAAAGGCTAGGTTAGTTTTCGCCAACTTACACCATCTGTGACACCACTTCGATATCCAATTGCCCATTTAAGGTCGATAGTATTGTCCTGCAGTTCTCTCTGTTCTACTGTATGGGTATGGGCACTAATGGTAGAATACATAAGAAAGCTTCGGATGTTAAATCGTTGTTGCCTTCATAGCAAAGAGAGCGCATCATGGTGTCACCATGTGAGTAACTCAGAAGTCAACTGTGGAGTTTTAGGAATAGGAGGAAAGTCGGTGGATACGGTTATGAACCTTTATCAACTAAGATGATTGGGTAATGTATTATGTATGATTGGTTACCGTCGGACTGGTCTCTCAGCGTTAGATGAAATAGGTTCACACTGGAAAAAGGCTCGGGTAGACCAGATCAAGACATGACACTAATGGATGAACTTTTTGACTGTTCGTTTGCTCAGTGTAGGAAAATGCAGAGTAACCGCTTGAGGTATACGTGAAAACGGAAACCAGTCGTTGGAGAATCTAGGTATCATGGATCAGAATCCATGTCAAGGGCACAGATATATCCACAAATCATCTTGATCCTCATACTGAGTCCATCATTTTAGCATTCGTCTCTCCTCCTTTTTTACTTCTTTCTATTGCTTTTGACCGATTTTTCTTCCTCTTCTAGTCTTTCATCTTATTACTTTGTTATTTGATGTACTGATACGAGGTGTAGTAATTCGGACCGTTACTCAGTTATGTTTTTTCCACTTGATTTTGATGATGATATGTTGTAGTAAAAGACAACCACTAAGTTATTCAGACTATGACTGACCCCATGTGGAACTGGGTTATGTAATCCAGTTGATCAGCATTAGGTGACTCACGAAGCTCCCTAGACCTAATATTGTATATCACATAAAGCGAAAGCTGAACTATTTACTTCGTTATCTCTTTCGTAGGGTATTTTTAACAGACCAGGAATAGTAGTAAAAAACGAACATTTCCTTTATTTTCGGTAACAAATGTGTTTCATTTTTACCATTTTGTTTTAATCTTTTGTGGTTAGATATAAAAAAAAGACAAGAAGAAGCTGAGAAAAGACGTGAAAAAAATCTACAGGTAGCTCAAGAACTAAAAGCGCAGTAAGCTGAAATTTTCGCTTATCGACATAATTTGTTGTAGTTTGAGGTTTATGTGGATTTCGTTTTCAAGGCCGTATTCGTCATGTACCAACATCAGTTGGAAAACCACTGAAAACCTAGGATTACTGGACAGCTGCTTCGTCTTAGTGTGGGGTACTTTGGCAGCAAACATATAAACCCCTCCCCAGTGACAGAACCAAGAACCCTCGGGTTTCATCGAGAACGCGTTAGCCATTCAGTTACTTATTTGGAGTTTAGTGGTCCAGTGCTCTTAAGTTTTCAACAGTTCACCAACTGATGACAGTTTGTGATGAATATTATCATAATTTATTGTTTCGTCTGTTGGAAAATTAGAATTTTTGATATCTGAAAATAATTGATTAAGTTTTGGCGAAATTGTAAGCGTGCATAAGTTTTTACAGAGCTATAATTTACTACACATTTATGTCTACCAAATAGGAAGATGTTTAGCATAATAGTGGTGTAAAGTATTCAAAACAAAATCTTATGAAGCCAGACGAAAAACACGACAATTATCTATAAAATAACTGACTGTTCATAAAAGTAGTACAAGTACCCAAACTACTGCAAAATTCTACCATTCATACTTTAAATGAAATTAATGGTAGATGACATAAAGTGATAAAAATTAACAGCAATTACAATAAAGTAGATGAGACCACTGTTTTATCTTCCAGAAATGTATCTTCCATATCCTACTTTATTCATGCGGTTTTGATCTGAAGCCAAGTGGCCCGTAGCACTCCTCTTTTAAAAACTTCAGTCAGTTAAAAGGTTTGAATTCGATAGCCACCACTTCATTATTATTATTATTATTTCTCCTTTGAGTTCCTAGTGAAATATAGGGGTTCAACAGAATCCCTCCATTCCACTCCGTTCTCTGCAAGCTTCTGAACCTGACTCCAAGACTGCCCACAAGCTCTCATTTCTTCCTCACACGATCTCCTCCATGTCACCCTCGCCTCAGACGCCCAACTCGACATTTCGCACTCGGGTCCCACTCGAGTGCCTAGCCTGGCGCATAATGTCCCCGAATGAGTTTCTCAGTGCATACCCAATCCATCTCCACTCACTTCTGCATATTTGTTCAGCGACAGGTCCTTGGTTGGTTCGTTGCCAGGTAGCCGGAGTTCCTTGTTGCTTATTCTTTATGGCCATCCATCTGATCTTCAGTATCGAGTGAGCGTAGGTGTAGGTGACAGCTGTTGATGATGTATGTTTGTAGTTTGTTGGGAATGCTTTTCATGACACGCCAAGTTTCTGAACCAGATAGATGCACTGACTTGACACTGGTGTTGAAAATCCAGATGTTGTTGACGCTTTATGCTGAGTGCAGTGCATAAGATCTCCACACTGGTTTCGGGCTAGTGAAGGAAGGCCTGTCTTGCTGTCTTTCCGATCGTGGCTGACTTTGACGTCCTCATCTGTGTCCCCACCTGTAGTTGAAACAGTGCAACCCAGAGAGATGAGAGAGGCTACTTTCTTTAAGTTTCCCCAGTTGATGGTGATTTAGGCTTGTTGGTGTTGGTGGTGGCGTTGGTTGGGTGCCTTCATCACCTCTGTCTCCTATACATTCACTTGAAGTCCCGTCTTCGCTGCCCTGCCCTGCCCTGCCCTACCCCACCCTCTTCTGTCAACTTGCTAGTTCTTGTCTGTACACCTTCGAGTTGGTGCGACACTAAACACAAGCCACCGGAGAAGTCCAAATCTTCTAGGTTCTTTTCCCCGGTTCAGCGTATCCCCCTCTCCTCGCTCCTCACTGTATGCTGCACCATCCGGTCTACTACAATTAGGAAGATCATGAGTGATAGTAGACAGCCTTGTCTTATCCCTGTCCCCTGTCTTCACTTCAAAGGCATCACTGAGCTTCCCATTGTGAATTACTTGGCATGTGGCATCTTCATATAGTTGCTGAATTAGATTGATAGAGGTTTGTGGTATTCGGTAGTGTTGAAGCAACTGCCAAATTACCTGTCGGTGGACGCAGTCGAAGGCCTTCGCAAAGTCGATGAAGTTGGGGTAAGGTGGAGAGTTGACTGGCATTCTATACTATGTTCTGTGATGATGCGTTGCGTAGAGGTGCAATTTGGTCCGCACATGATTTGTACTTCCTGAATCCAGCCAGCCTGTTCCGGTCGTAGTTTTGAATATTTTGCTTGGGATGGACAGGAGTGGAGCGTGATTCCGCGCCAGTTCCTGCAAACGCTAAGGCCACCCTTCTTCTGGAGTTTAACAAGGTAGCCCTTGTTCCAATCAATAGGCAGGTACCTTCCCTTCCTCCCACACCTTCTGCAATAGTGGTGTAGTGTGAGTATGTCCGCTGTTGTCTCTGCGTCTGCTCTCAGTACTTCTGGCATGATTCCAACTGGTCCTGCTGCTTTCCCACACTTCAGTAGCTTTGTGGCGCTCACGACTTCGACTTTTGTTGAAGGATTTGTGTTGACTGGTAATTCTGTGACTGGGCTGCTGGTGGTATTTCTGGGTGAAGTGCAGGTGGTTGTGATGATCGATTCAAGAGCTTCTCGAAGTGGTCAGCCCATCGTTTCCTTTGTTTCTCTTCTTAGGTAGTTGGATTTCCTTCACCATCTTTTATTGGTTTCATTTGTGTTGATCTCTTCCCTACCAGAGAGTAACCTGGTTATTTGATACAATGTTGTCAGGTCTCTGTCTCTCCTACCGGCCGACAGCCTGTTCTGCTTCACTTGCCAGTGTTTTGTGGAAGAGTCTTTTGTGTTTGCGTGCATTCTTCTTCACTTCTTTGTCCAGTGTAGTGTTTTATACATTGTACTCAGTTCCTCCTCTCTTTGAGCATCCTTGCACTGGTTTATCTTCTGTTTCACCATCCTCCTCCCCCTGCTCTATCAGCTTAAATGTGTCCGTCGAGATCCATTCCATTTCTTGTCTTCTTTATTCTTCCTTTCTAATGCGACTATGCAGGTTTCTTTCCATATAGCTTCCAAAGAGTTCCAGTGCTCATAAAGACAACGTTTATCATGAAATGAATGCATTGATTCCTAAAAATTATGTAATTTCATGTCATACTTAAGGTATGGTTTATTTTATTAAGATAATAACATTTGAATTAAGGTCACATAAGCGGTTTATTAAATTCGTAGAGCAGCTTTTAACGGTTTTTACACATTAGCTGTACTTATCTTATTCTTAGAAAGATAATTGTCAGAATGTAACAAGTTTAACATGACAAATGACCTAGAATTGATCAATACTAAAGTGGTAATGATGTATTTGGGAATGCACATTTTAGAAAAATGATTCTAAACCACTCAGGTGTGTAACTGCATGACAGTCAAACGTGACACTGTTCATCACTTAAAATCAGTGGTAGTACTAATAGGTTTAAAATCACTTGGTATTGGTTTTTGAACTTCATTTTCAAAGTTTCATCATATATCTTTTATATACTATTTATTTATATTGTTACAAAGAATAAAAGAGCATGAAGAAGAAAAAGAACGACAGCGAGTTCAAATGAAAGCTGAAGGTGATGAATTAAGGAGAATAGCAATCACAGATCATCTTGAACGTGAAAAATTGGAACAAATCTATCGTGATCAAATGCACAGGCTAACAAAAGAATTTTCTGATCAAATTGATGGTCATAAACAAATGAAAGAAATAGAACGGCTAAGAGATGAGGTTGTAGTAATTTTGTGATATTCATTTCCTGGTATTGTTGCATATACTTACTTGAATATAATTACAAGAAAACTAAATAGGTGATGAAATTCACTTCAGTCAAAAACGCAATTTATGTCCTCAGTTTTATCGCCAGATGGTAACAAAAATAGCTCTGAAGACTTAAATGCCAACCAAAGTCTATCAGGTAATAGTGAAGATAGACCAATAAGATAAGTGACATGAGACAGTGACGTACTATGTTTGGTGTAGGCTATTTGCAGTCAGTTAGAGCCACCTGAACAAGCCGTATTTATTGCATGGTTGCCATATCATATTTCATAAGTCATTGACTGACTTGATTTGCCAATCATAATTAAAAAACAACATAATTTGCCATTAGGTAACCAATTTATGTGTGTAAAACCTGGTTCGTGTTGGAGTCATTTATTATATGAATAGCTTAGTGTTGAAATATCTGTCTTTCATGCTGAGTAATACGAGTTCCAGTCACTGAAGAAAAATGAAGTTTATCAAGTTTGTAGATATGCATTTCTGGTAGATTTTGTCATCAATAAAAATTGGGTCCATAACTCACTGTCAATGGACTTGGAGCACCTAAGAATTAGATAATTTCACAATACCATAGTAAAGTATTAGCGAATCGTACCCTCGATGGTAGCAGTTCTCCAACTGTCACCAACATCTCTAATCATATCTTGTTGATAAACAAATAAATACCAATTATCAGATTACGTAAAGCAGCAGTACGATATACACTATACATTTTTAAAGGTTTCAAGATAGTTGACAGAAATCCTGAAACTTAATTTTACATTCATGTATGAAATTTTGTGCAAAGTAATGATTCCTCAACAAATTCTGTATAGAAACACAATCACTATTGAAAGAATTAAAAATGTAACATCACAACTCAATATATTTTTGCTGTATATCTTGATGGAGCAAACTCTAGAAGTTAAAAAACTTGGGTTTAGCATTGATTACCTTCCCCGAATGGATTAATGAGGACATACTTTATTATTCAACATTTTTGACTAATGGTGAAAGGCAAGTTGGAATCTGATAAGAGGTATGGATTTTTTTAGACAACGAAGGCTATTCAGTGATGAAAAATAATCAACTCAGCTTTTGATTTCTTTTATCTACTTTAAACATGCAATAATTATATGCTGTCTTGTTCAGCCCTCAGTAAATTACCTAAATAAATGCATGAAATGCTCTGTTTAACAGGTTGATTAAAAATATGGCCTTCAAATGTAACACGGTGTGATTTCACTGGGTAATTATCCTTCAGGACCTAGGTTCTAAGCTTCTTAAAATTATTCACCTGGAACCTGGAAAAGATTTATATTCATCTCGGCATTCAAAACTGCATAATGTACACCATAGTCAAAGATGCCAACGACAAGATATTAAGGTCATAACTTACTTCCTTCATCATGAACCAAGAAATTTATTGGTCACAATCGGTTTCTTTGAATCGCCTAACACCAAAAGCAATGCATGATGCTTAAATGGTTGGTCTTATTGCAAACGTGACTAACAGAATATCGTTAACAACGAAATCTGTGTAATATGAAAAAAGTATGAATACCTGACATATTTACCTTGATGTGAAGAATCTTGTAAATAAATACTAACCAAGTATATTTTTAATGGTAATATAGTGGGTACTGATCAGAATGGATATATATAGTCTACTTTGAGAAGGAATCATAGGGAATTTCCAGCGATGGGTAAAGATTCTACCCAGAGAAACGCTAGAGGCAGAGTGGGTGTATTAAAAGCAAAGCGAGATAGAAGCAGAGAATGAAATGGAGCACAATGTTCAAATGAATATTTTAGTGGAAAGCGTGCAGTATTTCATCACTACTGTACAAGATGTCATAATGAACATACTGTCCTTCGTCTCAGTCTTGTTGTTTCCTACAAATGGCGTCGGTGCTTCTGGACGCGGTAAAGACTCCGTGGCTTGCAGTGCTCAAGGATGAAGGCATCAAGGTCTTCCTCAGAGATTTCTAGTTGGTCCTGGAGCTAGTCGGTGTCCAGGATCCAGGAGCGATAGTCGCTGTACTTCGCACGTTGTTGAGGGTACAGCGAAAGTGGCATACGACTGTGTGGAGCGCGTGGATGGAAAGAAGATTCGGAAGAAAATGGTTAAATGCCTGGAGGCGGAGTCTGACATCCCAGCGAACACAGAGCTGATGATGCAGCAGTTCCAGAGCACAAAACTGGAATAGACGAAGACCCGCTGATATTGGCTATGAAGTTGACTAAACTACTACGACGAGCACTTCCCAATTTGGATGAGGACTCTAAGGCAGTTGCTGGCTGCATAGTCCACCAAAAGTGTCCCTAATGTCATCGCCCAACAGCTACCACTAGTAAACGCAGCCCAAGCCATTGAAATTCGTGAGCTGGTCAAGGTAACCAGATAGCTAATAGGTACAGCAGTAGCTGTGGTAGAGTTGCCAGAGGTAAATAACTGGAAAAACGAATCGATAACTTCCAGGAAGAGGTGGCTTCACTTTGAAGGAGTATGTTCAGACAGAGTAAGGGCTTAGCATGCGGAAAACTGGGACACCAGCGAAGAAACTGTCCGGAGATGGGAAAAGGAAGTTTTGAATGATATAATATGAGTTCTGTTTTTCTGACTTGACTAGATGTTGTGGGAGCCATAGATGAAGATCCTGTGTATGCTAGAATGGGAATAAATCATCGGGAGATCGTGCGTCTGATAAATAGAGGGGCGGAAGTCTTGCTGATAAATAGGTGTCAATCTCAGAACATAAGACCATGTGCGCTAATGGCCCACACGGTTGAGTGATATGCATTAGAAATCGAAGGCTTATCAGATTGTGTCATTGAGGTCGGAAGTCGAAAAATTAGATTTTCATTGGTGGTCACCACGCGTCTACAACGGACAATCCTAGCTGCCGACGTTTTGAGAGTAGGTGCAGTTGTTAACACGAAGACAGGAGTAGTGGCGACAAAATACAGGTTGTTCACCACGCAGGAAAACAGTGAGGTAGCAGAATGAGGTATCAAAAGCACCATGCCGAGAAGCGCCAAACATCATGAAGTTGGTTAAGAAATATGACAGATTGTTCACGGGAGATACAGACCCTTACGGATATTGTGACAAGGTTCAGCATGACATCCCAGTGACAAGTCAAGCAATGACACCTTTTATAACGTGGCGAATACCATGTCACTCAGGAGGAGAAGTTGGGCGCCAGGTTCAGGAAATGTCAGACCAAGGCATTAGTGAACAAGCCGATAGCTCATACAGTTCACGAGTGCTACTAATAATGAGAAATATAGGTTCTGTGTTGATTTCCGAGAGTTAAATACTATAACGCCACTGAAGCCCTGTGCCATTCCGACAATAGCTGAAACACTGGATCGTCTACAGAATGCAATCAGGCTACTGGTAGCTACCAATAAAAGAAAGCAATAGAGAGAAAACAGTATTCATGGTGAGCAAGAACCAATGCCAATTCAAGTGAATGCCATTTAGTTTTGCAGGCGCGCCATTTATATTCAGACGATTGATGTTGTTGCTGACGGATTGAGACAACATAGAGGTGTATGGTGACGACATGGTGGTGTACAGTCAGACGGAAGCCGAACATCTAGAACACATGGAGGCTGTTTTAAGACGCATTGATGAGTGTGGACCTCGCATCAGTAAGACAAAATCTCAGGTAACCAAGAAAAGTGTTACATCACTAGGACGCTAAATAAAAGGTAAATAAAACCATTACTTGAGAAGATTCAGACGGTTAAAACCATTCCAGTGCCGAATTTAAAGAGGAAACTGCGATAATTCTTGGGCAGAACATCATTCTAAAGTCTGCTCTTCAAAAATTTCAACCAGATAGTGTCACCTCTATACAAGCTGCTTGGTAACCCCAAAATTTACGTGGATGGAAGAGACATAGAAAACGTTTGATCACATCAAGGGACTCCTAAATGACCGGCAGATGACTTTAAAACTACCGATAACTGGGGAACTAATCATTATGTCCACCGATGCAAGTGATTATGGGATAGGCACAGTTCCGAGACACACTGAAGGAGCAGTGTAGCATGCCAGTCATGTCCTCACACTTGCAGAACAGAAATTTTGCACGGTTGAAACGGAATGTCTGGCGACAGTTTGGGTACTGGATAAATGGAGATTGTACCTCCTCGGTCAATGATTCCATATTGAAGCTGATCATAAACCTGTACAGTGGATAAGGACAGGGAGAGACTCTACAGGAGACTTATCACGTTAGATGTTACGACTGCAAGAGTGCAACTTTACAATTGGCCACGTCACACGGAAAGAAAACTGGTTGGCAGACTTCTTATCAAGATCAGACGAAGAAAATGAGATTGCATACTGTGTATCTGCAGTACAACAGGACCTATTAAAACTTGTTTGCCATTTCCACAGACATCTGGTGGCAACCAATACTTGTTGGGGATGACTAAGCCTGCTACACGATGGTAGACGCCGATGCGATTCCTGACCAACGCTAGAAGACAGTGACCACCGCAGTGATGCTGCATATTGTTGGGGATCATGGTGTGCCCAAGATGATATTGGCCGACCACTGTCCTTGTTGTGAGAGTAGAGAATTCAAATCTTGTTTGGAGCAGCTCAATATCAAGAGGATAAGAACGACACCGTATTACTCGTAGATTAACGGGTTGACAGAACGGAATAACCGTACATTTAAGGAGTGGCTGGCTTCGAAAAGAAGGAATTGGGAGACAGAACTGCCGTTAATATATTCTTAGCGCATTGTGCCTCGGTACAAGGAACAACCAAGAGGTTGTCGTCTCAGTTAATGTACGTTAGGAAACAACGGCTCCCAATACACAGTAAGAGCTGGCCCCAACAACAGTCATAGTACATGACAAGATTGAGAAAGGAGCGGAGAGGGGCAATCAGAAATTTGGAACAAAAACAGAAAGCTGAGGTTGAAAAAGCCGAGCAGAGAGAA